CCGGCCCCGTCCCGTACTGCCCGTCCCGACCCGTGTCGACTCCATCCGTCCTAACCCGTCCCAACCCGTCTCGTCCCGTCACATCCCTTCCCGCCGCGCCCTATCCAGTCGCGTCATGACCCTTCCCGTCCCGCCTCGCCTCCTCTCGTCCAGTTCCGTCCCAACCCATCTTGTCCTCTCAGACCCCTCTCCCGCCCCGCCTCGTCCGATCCGTCCAATCTCGACCCTTCCCAAACCGTCAGGTCTTTTCACACTCCTCCTCGCCGCGCCCCGTCCCTTCCTGCACCGTCCCACCCGTCCCAACTCGACCCGTTCCGACCTGTCTCGTCCTGTCCCGTCCCTTCCCTGCCCCGCCCACTCTCCCTATACCGCCTTGTAGCCTCTCGTCTTGGGCGTTCACAGACGTGCACATGCATTATTGATCGCGTTCAATTCGTTCACCATCAAGATGCAATCGGAAACAATTTTCTCTTAAGTTATGAGAAAATAAAGGTATGATTAGTAAGTAGGTAGTACACAGTGCTCTGAAGTTCCCGTTAGAAAACAATAACAACTACAAAAACAGATTTTATGTTGAATTCATTAAAAAAGGCAGGATCTGTTTATTTATTTTTTTCGAAAAAATAATTTCGAGAAAAATGAATATAAATGTTACTTTTTGGCGCGAAATGCAAACCGGTTGCCGGGACACAGCAGACGCATCTGCAACGGGGCTGGGCGATGAGTTTTTCCGCGTTTTCGGGAACTGTGGAGTGAGACAAGCAGAGCTTGCAGTACACTAGGGTACTTAAATAATATCAAGTGTATACTATTCATTCATAATACTATATTTGTGTGTACCATTCATTCAATCTATTCAATTCACTCAAATGCATTTTGTTTTAAATTATAGCCACGGGTTTCAGCAGCTAGCTTAATGGAAAGTAAAAATAAACTTCAGGAATGCTCCAATAATTGAAGTATTTTTGGCATATTATCAGCGTGAACTTGTGCTTTAGATAATCGCATACGATAAATGAATGTTCCCTGCGTCTATCCCGTATAAGGTAGTGGACACAGTGCAACACAAAGGCAGCACAAGTTAATTTTGCTGCCTTTGAAAATCACCGAAAATTCAAGGGTATCAAATTTAATTGACTTAACACAATCAAGAAAGTGTTACAGGAATGTTGTAATTTTATTTCTTATCAGAAAATAAATGATATTCCTTTTCCACAATATCACATATTTTTATTGACTCTTCCACTCGTGAAATTAAAACCAATAGTGTTTAGATATACGAAGAAAATATCACAAATAGGGCGGTGTATCTCAAAAAGTTTATCGCTTTTTCTATCCGATTTTCCTTACCGCTTTTTCCTTTTGTCTAATCATAAACTGTGAATCATCTGTCTTAGGACACGGTATATATCGATCACTATGTCGATTTCCAATACAAAGCGTATGTACTATATCATATCCTCTTTAATTTTAACATAGCTTTCAGTTATTTTCAATACTTAGCGCATTTTGGAACTCTACAGAACATACGTTGACTCGTGTAATAGTCCCGTTAAATACCACTCGTGATTTGAAAATTCTCAGATGAATCCCCTCCTCGCTTCGCGGGTCAGGAATTTATTAACAATTTCCAAACCACTCGTCGTGTTACTTATGATAAATTCATCGTTTTCCTCAATGGGAAATATTCTACCCCTTACTTGTATGATTAAAAATTTATTTGTAACAATTTAATTGTAATTACTAGTATTGATTGTAATAGTCATATTATATTGTATTCTAATTGTAAAATTCTATTGTGTATATTTATTTTATTGTATTATTATATTATAATTTAATAAGTCTAATGGTAATTGTAATTTCATTGTATTTAAACAACTTATTCACACGCATAAAGACACAGCTCCAAAGGCGGGGCAGTGTTGAGGGTGACGAACCTTAAAAGCTATGCCCTCTCAATACTAGTGCAATTTTATTCAATATATTCAAAGTAACTTCTACATATTGATCTCGTAATGATCGTTCCAATTACAAAGTCTATTTTTATTTGAAGATAACAAATGGTGCTAGTACATTAGATGCTTTCTAAGATTATTTATATCGATCACGCAATATTTTAATCACACTTGACCCTGCAAAATCCTTTCCTGTAAACAATTACTTTCTTAATGAGGAGTAGAGAGAATGTTATGTAATGCTGCAGGAAAAAACGGGGAAGTTTTGACAGAAAAACTCTTATTACAGGGTCCTGGTAACGAAAAAATTAATAAATTCAGTTGCAAAATTTAGAAAACATAATTCTCTATCACGTGCTGTAGCCAGAATCCATGTTTTAGTGGGTCCTTCATACCGAAAAGTCGGCGGTCAAAATGACGGCAAAAGTCTGTCTGTGTGTATCTCTACCTGTCCGTCTGCATATCTATCTGTGAGCAACGCTAGCGGCTGAACCGTTGAGCCGTTTTTCTCCAAAATTAATATTCCCCAATCGATCTGTTTGATTTTACGGTCTCGTGAATTTGAAATCTGTATTTTAATTTTGAGAGTACTTTACATGAAGCCCATAGGGCATTTTTCCAATTTCCAAATAAAAGCCTCCATCGTTTTTTATTAAATTTTGCTGGTGGTAGGGGAAGGACGTTTAAGAGAATGGCGAAGGTCTCATGTTAGTTTAAAAAATGTATTTTTCGAAATTGCAAAAATGTTCCTAATTTTATTACAGTCTTTCTACAACTAAAGTATTATAGAGATTTTCTGTTAATGAAATCCGTTTCTTAAAGATAGATTTTGAAATAAGATCGTGTACAATTTTTTGAAAATTGGAGTACTTTTCTCGTAATTGAGTGTAAAAATACGGGCGAAAAAGTATGTGCTGTTCTGACACCACTAGTTTTTTAATTCCACGCTGTAATTCGAAGCCAAGTTCTCAGATTAAGAACACCATTCACATTACCCCACACACTCCATTCCACCATAAACACAACATTCCCGACACTATAAAAACAAAGAAGAAAATTTACATTCGTAATTTTTTTAAAATCCAGACATTTTTGTTGGCATTATTTCAAGATTAATTTTAAAGAACATATTTCATTAAGAACACAACTCTATATTTTATGTTGTATTTATAGAAGACGCTGAAAAAATTTTATGTTGCAATTTTCGAAAAAAACAGTGAGTTTAATGAAAAAGAAGCAACCATTTTATATGCTTACTTTTCTTTATTAAAAAGTAAAAAAAAATGGACCTGTTTTAGAGACGATTTTGAAAAAGTTGTTATTTCGTCTAAAGTACCACATTTCACATTTGCGGTGTCTCGATTTCGGCCAGATCGAAGGAGTTTTTTCAACGTTGGAGAAAATCGTATAGTTGGAGAAAAACTGTTTGAGTGCTTGCCTTGTTCATAGATGGACAGGCAGACGGACAGGCATACGTTTCGCTGTAAACCAAATGTTTGATATCACTCATAAAATGAGGATTCTGACAAGTTATTATTGTTGAAACAATTATTGAAACAATTTACTGTATATTGGAAAAAGGTCGAAGTAGGCGAGAAAGTAAAAATACTATTTCAAATATGTTTAGGGAAAGGTAAACTTGCTCTTATTCAGAGTATCGATATACTTTCTGAAAATGCCTCAGTTCGAATGAGACTTTTATAATTGTACCCATCAACTAACATCTGAGTATAATTCAAAATGTTCCATAATGAGTACACTTTTTAATGATGTACACGGAAGTTTTCTTATTAATATATTACTCTATAGTCCAATACTATAGTATCATATAGTAAACTTTACAAGTTGATGTCGCAGATTTTGGGGGATAATAGAAGCATAGCTTCCTACGAGTAATAAGTTTGTGATAAGTTTTTCTTTGCGCTTTTGACGAACTTCAGGATCGGGATAGTTCTTGGAGAGAATTCCATGAAGTCACAGGTACTTAACTTCAACAGAGACTTACTCCGTATTATTAGTTATGTCAATTTACGTTCGTTGTTAAAATCATTTCAGTGCTAAAGACATCAGTGCTGCCGTGCTCGTAGCGAGCGAGAAAAGACAGGCAAATGCACGAAGCATTTTCCCTCTCATGGGTTTCCTCGACAAATGCTGCAGGCGTTTCAATATTATTGACCGGATTAGGTGCCTCAGAGCATCAATTGAAGTCGCTGCAGTGCCTCTGATCGGGAAGTCCTAGAGTTCGATTTCCGACGGTGGCAGGATTTTCGACACTAGCTACATAACTGGGTCGAATTCAGACGCTGCCTGGAGGAGAATGCTAGTGACCGGCTGCTCTGATCGGTAGTTTTCCGTGGTTTCTCTGTTAAATACAATGGAACACCCGTCGCTTACCATACCTCGCCGGCCCTCCTATGCTCTTCTCACAATCTTCACTCACAGTTCATTTCACCGGTCGAATGCAGGCGCTGTCTGGAGGAGAATTCTCGCGGTCGGATTCTTTGATCGGTATTTTTTCCGTGGTTTGTCCAATCAACACCGAATGCTGGAGCAATACTCCAACAGACGGACCGCGCGCGATCTTCCCTTCCTCTTCCTTGGTCTATCCCCACCCCTTACACACACATATACTCTTACATACACTTCTCTACCCCACATATCAGGAGCTTAGAGCGTGTCGCGGCAGGGGCGGTGCCCCGCTGGTGAGGGATACCTCTTTATGGATAACAAGCTGAAAGGTAGGTCGGCGCTGGATCTCAACATCCACCAGAGGAAAGATCATATCACCTCCCACGATAAAACATGCTGTACACTTAAGGAAGTTTTGACTTTACCATTTGACGTGCCCGGAATTACTAATCAATTAACCAATCAATCAATAAAGAAATATTATTGACTTGGATGCCAGTTCTAATCACATAAGTGGATGTTATGGACGTTGAAAACACAATTCTATTAAAATAACAAAATTATTCAAGATTTTTGCATAAAAGTTATGGAAGATTTTTGTACATTTTGTAAGTTTTTTATAACAATTACGTTTTTGTTTGCGCTCAAACACAAACAAAGAATAAAAGACTATGAAAAAGTGGGGATGTGATCGGGTAGTTTTATAAAGGTGTGGAGAGTTGTGTAAATATAAAAGTTGTATGGGATGGAGATGTGATTGGAGATCTGTGTAAATGAGAAAATAAAGAGTGAGGAATATATGAGAATGGAGTGTAATTTTTAATAAGCATTTTTATAATGATGTGTGTGAAAATGTATCATTTGAAACTATAAGGAAAGCTAAAAGAATGAATAGAATTGAATAAAAGAATCTAGAAGAATCCCTCTCATTTAGTGTTATAAGAAATGCTATGTTAGACGTTTATAAAAATCTTACAAAGCAGGAACAAATATATTTTCACTGAAACAATAAATTTAGGCGTTAGATAAAGCTGCAGCGTGTTGCCTGTTTTATTTAATTTGTATCTTGACAAAGCTGCCCGACTGGGGAAACAATGGCTAACTAATTTTCTTGTTAGCGAGAGAATACCCCATAGCGAGAGAATTGGGGGGAGGTAGAGCTAAACGGAACAGCTGACCACCGTTTACTCGCACGATGTCAAATACCCGAGTCGTCACAGGGAAGTTGTTTCGCAAAATTAAGATTGATTCTCTTATAAATGTATAATGTTGTAATACAAAAAAAACTATAGTATGCAACTCGTTTATAATGTTGCTTTATTACATTCATACAAATATGAAAACTCGCTCCTAAAGTCGCTTGTTTTCAAAACATGTACTCATGCAATTAAGCTTAACGTTATAAATTAATTGCATTAACTACTATTAATACATCATAAAACATGGGTGAATATAAATTCTTAGAAACCGTAATATAGGCTGATGACCTTGATGACGCAAAGACAGCTATTTGAACTATTCAAAATTACTGAGAGTATAATCTAAACATTTGTAACGAGAAAACAAAGATTTTGTCTTTTGCAACAAAGTGGCCTGTAAGATGAAAGTTGTAATTGAATAAAAAATGTAGAGAGAGTTTCTCTATTTAACTTTCTTAGCTTCCAAGTATCAAAACACGAAGACATGAATACTGGTTCTTGCACCATTCTATTAAACATTCTTCACACAATTAAATAAGACAGTTTTAAAAAGTCGTTGGAGCCTTTTTTTTTAAATTTAGAGAATGTCCCAGAGGTTTCTTGTAAATCCCCCCCCCCCAAATAAAAATGTGTGTTTCCAATTCTAGGTGCGCGACATCAGTAGATCGACAGGTGACTGACAATATTGGAGAAAAACAGATGAACAGGCTAGCGTTGTTCACAGACGGACAGACGTTTTGCTGTCAATCTGTTTTTCGGTATCAAGGACCCACAAAACAGTGCTTCTGGATATACCAGGAGTTAGAGGATTTTTTACTAAATTTAGAAACTGCATTTATACACTTTTTCATTATTAGGGCCCGGCGATGAGAGTTTTTATGCCCCAAAATCGCGGTTTCCCCCAACCATTACATAACTTTCTCTCTACTGCTTAAGTGGTGATGCGAAAATAAAATTAGAAAATTCATGTAATTTTTTATAATCTATCACGTTGTTAATATTAACATTATTACCAATTTTTTGTAGTTCGGCACTTGAGAGCAGAAATGCTTGAACTGATGTTTTTCAGAAATTTAAAAGTTTTCTATGAAAATGAGCTCAAAATTGGCAAAGTTTCAGAAATGTTCGCATTTTTTTCAAATATGGCACCATACTTTTTCTTGAAACTTTTAGAAAGGATAGTATTATTTGATTTGAATTACATGATATGTGCCAAATTATGAAGTCTTTTAATTATTCAAAAATTTAAAAAAATAAATTTTGATATATCGTGGACTTTGTTAATATGAGAGAGAAATATAGATTATAAGAGAGAAACCCCTCTTCTCGACCACTTTTTCCGGTATAGAATGTTTTACTGTAAATCCAATGCATTAAAATTCCCTTTATGGGGACTACCCCTGTTCTCCACCAACCACCATCAATTCCTCTACAAAATCACACCGTTTCGCCTTAAAGGCGACCACTTTTATTCTCGTCTCGAGAAATGTTTTTCAATGTCTTATGCCGTTTTCTGCTAGCTGCAACTTGCGGCCTCGGTGGCCGCAATGATCCAGGCGTTTTTATTATTATTATTATTATTATTATTATTATTATTATTATTATTATTATTATTATTATTATTAATATTATTATACGGCACAAATGATGACGTATTACATTTTATGTCACAAATGATGCCATGACACATTCAGCCAATCGTAGCGAGAGAATCGGGGGGAGGTAGAGCTAAACGGAACAGCCGATCACCGTGCGATGTCAAATACCAGAGTCGTCACACGGAAGTCGTTTCGCCACATTAATTTTGATTCTCTTATAACTGTATAATGCTGTTATACAAAAAATATAGTATGCAACTCGTTTATAATGTTGCTTTATTACATTCGTACAAATTAGAAAACTTGCTCCTAAAGACGCTCGTTTTCAAAACATGTACTCGTGCAATAAAGCTTTACATTATAAACGAATTGCATACTTGAAACTACTATTATTTCATCCCAGTAAATGGCAAATATCAATCGCAAATAAAAACGCGAACTACTTGCTTGTTGGGAGCCCGGCGCTCCTATTGTCACTGGCAACTACCCCTACCCATTTCATTTTAATATCCAGAAAGGGGTGTACACGCGCATGCTAGAGCGAGCCGATGAGTACTGTCTTGATACGAAAATTATGTTTGCCAGAATTTTTCCATCAAATAACCAAGAATTGTATTATGTTTATATTCTTCGCTACTAATTTAATGTTTATTTTCTTACTAAATTCTCCCGTAAATAAACATCTTTTCTAAGTGACCGGAATATGTTTGAATGGCGAATCCTTTCATTGAGTTGGTTTTGTATTGTGTAATTAAATCATTAAGTTATATATTCTATTTAGCAATAATATGAAGTAATTAGCAAGTGTGTAAAAATTAACAATACTCGCATACGGTCAGAGTCATTTTTAACAGAAAAGAATATTTGATTGTTAAACCTTCTAACCGGAATGTAGAACGTTCAAGCTTTTATATCACACTTAAATAATAGGATTACAAAACCAAAATACTTTTTATTCGAAGTTTTTAATTTTACTCTCAATTGAGAATTTGAAATCGGACTGATGTATTCTGTCATTTTAATACATAATTTCTTTGCCTGTAAGAGAAAATTGGAATTAATATTATTAAATATCTCCAGGCGTGCAGCTCGTGACTTACCGTCATTCCGTAGCTATTTCTACAACTCTTACTTTCAAAGCTCGTGCCAATTTCTCTGGACTGGGTGCTCGCGGGCTCTGGTATTCTTGCTACCTTGCCTGCGACCTTGACACGCCTGCGGTAGGGGGTAGAGCCGCTGTCATTTCTTTCCGTCCCTTTGGATGGGATATTTTTAGAATGGCATTGGAGGCGATTTCAGCAGTTTCTCCTTGCGTTTGAAATACGATCCAGTGTTAAACGCTGCTATCGCTGTGTTGTGTTGCCGCTGATTGTGGAGAGAGTGCTGAGAGAAAGTCTGTTTCCGCTACAATTTTATTTTTGGTATTCCAGCATTATTGAAACTTTTTCTGTTGCAAGAAATTGTTCATAATCGGGAACAAATGATGGCGTATTAGATTTCATGTCACGAATGATTGCACCATCACACATTCAGCCTATCGTAGCGAGAGAATCGGGGGGAGGGAGAGCTAAACGGAACAGCCGACCACCGTTTACTCGCACGATGTCAAATACCCGAGTCGTCACAGGGAAGTTGTTTCGCAAAATTAAGTTTGATTCTCCTATAAATGTATAATGCTGTTATATAAAAAAGATAGTATGCAACGTATTTATAATGTTGCTTTATTACATTCGTACAAATTTGAAAACTCGTTCCTATAGTCGCTTGTTTTCAAAACATGTGCTCATGCAATATAACTTAACTTTATAAACTAATTGCGTACTTTGCAAGTACTATTATTTCATCCCAGTAAATGGCAAATATGAACCTAAAAAAAAAGAAAACTTACACAGTTCTCTCGGAACTCCCCGTTCATTGATAAGGGAAAGCGAAAAGAGGAAGTCGCAGCGAGAATTAGCTAAGCTGTTTAATTGTGGTAAAAGTCAGGTACAACTTTTGCCAATCGGGAAAGGTACCTATTTCAAAGATTGGGAATAAAGCTCTGAAAAGGACGTCGGCAGCCTTGCAAAAGCAAAAACACCGTTATTTTAGAACAGTTTTATTGCGCTCGTTCAAAGGACTTCCCTATCAGTGGGCCAATGTTGCAAGAAAAAAAACCCCTCTGCGAATTGCATCGGAACTTGGAGTCGAAAACTTTAGCGCTATCAATGAATGTTTGAGCGGATTTTGTGCTCGCCGCAATATGGTTTTCGAAAGTGTTAGTGGTGAAAGAGGTAAAGTCAATGAAAATACGAACAGTGACTGAAAATCGCGATTGTCCGACATCACCAAAGAATACACACCATGTGACATCTACAACATGGATGAAACGGGCCTTCTATTTAAAACAATGCCGGTCAGATCGCATACAGTTAAAGGAGGCCAATACATGAGTGGTATATTCGCAAAGCAGAGATTAACTACTGGCATAGCAACAGTTTGGTATATTATTTTCTTTTAAATCGGCAAAATTTCTTCTAACTGGGAAAAGTCGCCTTCGGGGCGCCGAGTCGTATGCGAAGAGGGGAAATTGAGAGATTTGGCATTAAAACGGTATGGTGACCAATTTTTTTTTACAATGAAAAGGACGACGAAAAAATGAAGAAAAAAGTATGACGTAAATAAATTAAACATTTTATTAATTCAAACAAAAATACACTAATTATGCTTACGAACCTTCTAATTATTTAATGAAAGGAACAATTTTCCATTTTTCATCCATTTTGAAAAAATAATTTTCCTCAATATCTTATTTTCTAATAATATATCAAAAATTTCTGAACGAGAATTATCTTTCCTCTTGAATTTTACGGGAAGAGCTGAAATTAGAGAATATTGATTTCTCGCTTGACCAAAAATCTGAAATACTGATGCAGAAACTACAGAAAACGGCGAGAATTTCGCCGATTGAGCAACACTAATCGCATCTTTCTGAACTGTACTGCCACAAGATGAATAACATTTTGGGCGGGGCATCTCTTAATATAGAGATTAATATATATGTTTTAAAACATAGAATAGGAGGACAGATAGGAGGATACTTTTCCAGGAGGGACAGAACCTACAAGGAGGACGATTGGCCACCTTATTAAGGGTAAATGCCCAATTACAGAAATCCGTGATCTTGACTAGAAAGTCACAGAAACAAATATCAATATTTACGATCAGAATAAAAGATTTTTTATTGATTCAACAGTATGGAACATTTCTTTCACTGATTGAAATTCCAAATCATCGATCATTGAAATGAACAATTAAAAGAAATTTGTTGTATAAGAATCATACTACCGAAAGTAATTTTCAAACTTAAAAAGAATTGAGCTTAATATCTAACGGCTGTAGAAACAAGACATTTAAAAACATTTCAAATACAAGGAAAGGATAGTTGAAGATTGTCATTGTAATACTTCCAGAAAATTCAAAAGATTTTAGATAATTGTTGTTTTTAGTCAGTTGTAGTTTAGAAATGTTATTATTTCATGTTACTGAACTTCTCATTGTAAATTTACGAAAATAAAATAAGCCGTAGATAACTACAGAAAAATAATACAAATGTGTACATAAATTATTTTATTGTGTTCTGCGTCTCCCATTCACAGCCATATACATCCGCAGTCGTGTGTGGAAGGGCCGGCGAACTGATTGCAATGTTATTACTGATTGCTATTTATCCATGCTTAGGAATTTGAACCTGTAGAAGAAGAGTTCAACATTCCTCAATCATTCGAAAAATTCTTTCATTCTGATCCGTAACACTGGTATTTGTTCCTGTGACCTTCCTGACAAGAACGCTGCTGTAGTTACCTGCCTATCCCGCTTTGCCACCCCTCTCAGACTCCCCTTCTCCGCGGAACAGTCACGGTGTCGTGAAGGTCATCGTCCTCAAAGGCAACAGTTGCAAGGGATAGAGGAAACTTCGACTGTTTAATTTACAATAACGTTACAGAAAGTATAATTTTATAGTAAAACTATTATCAACAAATTAACATATGATACATTATTGTATTCCTCTTTTTATGACCTGTTCATTGCTGGTGAGAAAAATATATAGTTCCTTTTGAAAAATCTAAGATTAGTAAATTTCTCGAGTACTATAAAAAATATTCAAACAATATATCTTCGGCATATCACTAGCCCCATAATTCCGCATTGCTGAGCGACAATCGCATTTCAGTATCGTGAGCCGTATCGTATCAGTTCAGTAGACGTTGTGGGTGAGGGTGGCCCATAGTTGGTGAGACACTCTGAATGTATTAGAATTGCGTTTTGAATGTTTGCAAATGTGGTTCGTTTACATGATCTCTACAGCTAGTATATTATGTTTTTGATATCCTTCCCGTGAAATGATTTATTGAAGTGTAAGCTTTTGCTTTCTTCTTCTTCTTCTTCTTCTTCTTCTTCTTCTTCTTCTTCTTCTTCTTCTTCTTCTTCTTCTTCATCATCATCATCATCATCATCATCATCATCATCATCATCATCATCATTATCATCATTATTATTATTATTATTATTATTATTATTATTATTATTATTATTATTATTATTATTATATTTTTATTTGACGGTGGAGGTCGACCTGTAGGCACTGATCTTATTAGCGTCTATTACTTTGTTTTACTTGACAATGTTTTCAGTGTTTGACTTTCTTTCTTTATATGAGTGTTATGCTTGTAAATATTTTAGTTTTTTGCCTGAAAGAATATGAAGTTGTTTCCGTGCATTTGATTACAATCTACAATTTCTGCTTTAAATAAAGGAGTATTTTGATTGTCTCAAAATATTCTACAGTATGTTGTAGAACAGTGCTATGCCACTGTCGTATATATGTAGGCAACCAATGATTGGTTTTAATTATTCAATATTTAATTACTGTTAAAGAAGAGCTTCCGAAATTACACAATCATATACGAACCATATTAAAGAGCTCGATTAAATGATGGGAGAAGGGTATAATGTAACATGTTTGGACGTGTGATTGAACACCGTGCAAAAGACGGAACTTGGGCCAATCCTCATCGTGAAGGTAATGATTACTAGTGGTGAAACCGGGATCTGATGGCATGGCTGCGCCCAAAAGCCCCAGTGTTTTCGTTTTATATTTGGCAAAATTAACTGAAATATTTATTTATGTTGGAACTCGTAATTATTTTAAAAATAATATGAAATATTATATTTATTCTATAAAAATAATATAAAATATAATAAAAAAGTGTTTATTATTTAACAATAGTCTATTATGGCTGAACCGCTCTCCTTGCCCCCAAATGATCGGCTGGATTCGGTCGTTATCACAAGCCTTTGAAAATCAGTCGTCAAGCCCTTATGAAAACCTCGCCCTCCTGCAGGCCAGCGTCGCTGCGCGCGCGGGCCGCGAGCGAGGCAAGGCCGCGGGCGCGGGCGCGGGCGCGCCGGGTCGGGTCGGGTCGTGTCGGGTCGCGTCGGGTCGGGTGGGGTCGGGTCGGCGTCGCAGCTTCCCGCAAGGTCCTCGAGGGCGCCCAGGTGGCAGGCTGGCGGGCCACCGCCTCCGCCTCCGCCCACCACCCGCCCGCCGAAGAAGAGGCGTGTTCGTGTGGCGGTCGCTAGGCGGAGCCACCGCGGGCGCGCCGCCGCCGACACCGCCGCCGCCGCCGCCGCCGCCGCCTCCCGCCAGTCTCGCTCCGGCCGTCGTTGGGAGCAGTCACGTCGCCCAGTGTCCCGCCTCGCCTCGCCTCGCGCCGCCTCGCGTCGCCTCCGTCGCAGAGTGCTGCCGTCCCCGAGGTGAAGGTGCCGACCCCTGCCATCGCCGCCACCGTCCCCACGTGGCCCGCGCGGCATGTCCCGGCGCGCGCTCGCCCACGCCCACGCCACACCGCCCACGCCGCTCCCGCGCAGCCACATGGACGCCAGGTAAGTCGCCTGGGGCGCCTCCGATATTTACACTCCCCGACACAACCGACTCCACGTGTGTTTTAAAAACAAGACCGACAGGAAGAAGAGTTTCAGAAATAATACGATGCGTGTGTGCGTTTCTTACCCTCTCGCGACTACTGTCTGATCCTCTCTCGTGTTTTTGATTCGTGCCTCGGTTAGTTGTCACCGACCAGTGTTCATACGTGTAGTAGTGCCATTCGTGTTTGTAACAGCGGTGTGGATACTTTCCATTGAACTGTTTTCACCCTCGAAAAGGATTATCAGTGTTTCATCTGTGAGCGTGTTTGTTGTTGTTGAAGTGGTCGTGTGAGGATGCATGTGCCCCCCCCTAAGCACCGGTCACTGTGCCCTTGATCGCGTTTTGTAATTTCGTGTGTGAAATCACTGTAGAAGTCGCGATTATCGCCAGTTGTAGTCACTCCATTAATCCGGCAGCGTGCGTGAGTGGAGACATTGACTTCGAGTCGATCTCTCGTGGCACGTGAGAGCGCTGTGTACAACTGAGCAGAGCACGCTTCGATATTTATCAGTGTGAGTTGGGATGTGGTAGTTATAATTTTGCTGGACCAATAATATTCGTAATTTGATCACATGTCATCAGTATTTTATTGCATATTAATCCTCTAGTGATAAACATATAATACCGCATAGTGTCCCAATAATTCGAAATTGACTTACAGCATATTAATTTAGGTGATATTTGTAGCATTCTAATTAGTAGATTAGTATTCTTGTGGTGATGTGTAAAATGACGAGTTGCATTTCTTTCCTAGTTATTTTTAAACTGACTATTTGTGTCAACGCACGGAAAATACGTGACAACAGCCTAAAACAAACCAGATTTACCGTGTGGTCCTTCGCCGTTTGAATTGTGAGCGACGATGTGTGTGCATAGCATTCACCACCCCCGCAGCCGGGTGTACCCCGTCAGGGACGGGTCATCGGCCCGCTCCGCCCCCGCTCCGCCCCCGCTCCGCCCCCCGCGCCGCCCCCGCGCCGCCCCCGCGCCCGCCCCCGCGCCGCCCCCGCGCGTCCCGACCGCCCCCCGCTCGCCCCCCTTGGGCCCCCGCTCGGCCCCCTCGCCCCCGCTCGCCCCGCGCTCGCCCCCGCACGCCCCCGCTCGCCCCCGCTACGCCCCCCCTCTACGCCCCCGCCCACCCCCCGCTCTACGCCCCCGCTCCGCCCCCGCCTCCGCCCCCGCTCTACGCCCCCGCTCTACGCCCCCGCTCTACGCCCCGCTCTACGCCCCCCGCTCTACGCCCCCGCTCTATCCCACCCCGATCCGCCCCCGCGCCGCCCCCGCTCTACGCCCCCCGCCGCCCCCGCGCCTACGGCCCCCCGCGCTCTACGCCCCCCCGCCCCCGCTCTACGCCCCCGCTCTACGCCCCCGCACGCCCCCCCGCCCCGCCCCCCGCCGCCCCTCGCCCCCCCGCTAAGCCCCCCCCCCCCACCGCGCCGCCTCCCGCGCCGCCCCGCCCCCGCGCCGCCCCGCGCCGCCCCTGCGCCGCCCCCGCCCGCCCCTCGCCCCCCCGCCCACCCCCCCGCCCCCGCCCGCCCTCCCCCCCCCGCGCCCGCCCCCCGCCGCCCGCGCCGCCCCCGCTCGCCGCCCCGCTCACACCGACCCCCGCACACCCCCCCCCACCGCTCTCCGCGCCACACCCCGCCCCCGCTCGCCACGCCCCTCCCTCCCCAGCCTCGCCCTCCACGCCCCCCTCCTCACCCCCCTCCCTCCCCCGACACTTCCTCACCCCTCCTAAAACCCAGCTCCCCTCCAATCCCGCACCTCCTCCTCCACACCCCCGCCCACACTGCTCCCTTCCCGCCCCTCCCCTACCTCCATCCTCCTCCTTCCATTCCCCGCCCCGCCTCGGCCCCTTCGTCAGCGCCCCGTTCCCCGCCCTCACCCGCCCACGCCCCGCCCGCGCGCACCCCGACCGCCCCCGCGTGCGCGCCACATCGCTCCGCCCGCGCTCCGAATGTATCACCGCGAGCGGATCCACATTTCGTCTGTTTTTAACGGGGGTTAGTGCGAGCGCCATTTATCCAGCGGAACACTGTAATCCAATAGCGGCCCGCCGTGGATTTGGGCGGCAATTGCACCGCTCCCGGCGTCATTGGGCGTGAATTTAGGCGCGCGCGAATCATTAACTACAATCTACGGTCAATAGATGACATGTTACTATCCTCGGCGGAACTTCAAAACTCAACGCAAGAGCTATCCTACGCGTTTTGAAACGTATCAGTAATATCGACTTATCAAAATGTCAAACGTAACTTCTTTTATTGTCAATGTTGTTATTTATATAAAAAAAACCTTTCATTTGTTTCTCTACCTCTTTTTCTTCTTATAAATTATTTTTCTAAATACTACATTTCTCCATGAAAAATGAAATTGTACGATGCTCTCTTATATATTGGAAAATTAGAATCTTTTTTGCAATTAAAGAAAGACCGCGTTCAGAAGCACCGGTAGTGTGCGATTTTGAGATTTAATCCTTTAAATTTCAGACTTTCCTATGCTGTTAGCATTGCTGCTAAGATACCGAAAGAACACTGCAGGAAAGGCGAACTTGAATTTTGATCTGCGTCTTTTTCTCGTCATAACAGTCTGAATGTCAGCTCGAGTTTTCCCAGGTCAATTTAACTTACAAGTAATAATTTCCCTAGAAAATATTCGAGGAATTAGGAGAACATTCTCTTGTTTTAATTTGAAAATTCAGAGCATTCCAAAATTTTCTCATCAGCCGTGATTGCTTGAGTCAAAACTGCCAGTGGCTTTGTTATTACTGATTCTGACATCTAATACATGTATCTGCATTGTAGAGCGTTTTTATTAGAGACATTTTATTATGTTCTCTATGAAAAAAGAATTCCCGAAACGTTTTAATGGAAGACAAACCAAGGCATAGATCCTGGGGTATGGTTGTTGTGCAATCAAGCCCTACAAAGAAGAAAAGAGTCCCTGTGTAGTTAAATCAAATACTGATAACATTTTTTTCGTTGATGCTAGGGAGAGTGTATTTGTCGCTGTGACATATAAGTTCCAATTGGTGTGGAGGGTATTTCAAGTGAAGTGGTGGTGTTGTGTGCACTAACACGTCATCGATTATAAAAATTTTAGTGCAAAGAATGATATATCGCCTATTATGACTCTTCCAAGTGTACACATTTTCTCTCAGATCTTTTACTGTCACAATAATTTTCGGTTTATGTTTGGGAACGTCGTATAGTATAACGCGAACTCAAATGTGATGCTGTCTTTCTTCATCAAGACTTGAAATAACATTTGTCCTTTTTTTTCAGAGAAGCTTTTAGAAGCACTCCGCTTGTGTTTTTTCTTTGAATATATATCAAACACTCTTAAATTAATAATCTCGCCGATTAAAACATTTTAAGATAGCGCTTCTTTTCGAGTCAAGCAAGAAAATGAAAAAAAATAATTAAAGTTTAAAATATCTAACTGAAACCGGTTGTGCTCCAATATTGATGTGCCAAGAAAGTATTAGGAACCATATCCTGCTTTGGGCCACTGGGATACAGAATTGGTACGTTATGTCATCAAATAGCTTGTACACCTTGAAGAAAATTTACAAACTTGCAAATTTACTTCTCTCAAAATCCAGATCAGCAAGAATCTCGCAGATTGAATCATTGAAAGTTGATTCCTTGAACATTGCTTGATTTATTGTTATCGGAATTGTTTGTGACAGGCAGGGGATAAGGAAGCGTTACATTGATCGAATTTTCAATTTGTCCTTGAATAGTTATCATTGATTTGTTCATTATAGTCGGCAGTGTATTTTTATTTTTTTAAATTTTGTTACAGTTTGTAGTAAAATCTTTTTTTCTTTCCACAGCAGAAAATACGGAGTTTGACTTGTTAGAGTGTAGAGTGATGGGAATGTAGAAGTTAATAGATATCGAATTCCCACCCTTGAATTCGATGTCTAAATTAATAGAACATGCAACAAATCTTCTTTAGAAATTATTTTAAAAACCTTAATTGTTTTAAATAATACAATGTTTAAAAATTGTCAATTTACGTGAAACATTAACTAATATTTTACGGTTGTTTATTTTCTCCCTGAAACCCCACAAAATTCCATCCAACAAATTGCATCACTACAATTAATAGTAGGTTTATATTCAACTTATCATGATGTTCGAAGGCATAAAATCTGGTTTTAATTCCTCTCAACGCTACATGTGAGACCAATATTTTCTGGAGTAACACCAGTTATAATTACACTGATGTCGTGAATGAACAAAAATGTTTTAAAGCGTACAGGGTGATAGGAAAATATATCTGCAGTGTTACTTAGCTGGTGAGAATGATAGCAACAGAAATTAAGTGGGTAAAACGAGTTGCAGGTAATAAAATGTAAATTGCATACTCACCACATTCATTTACAGATGCTGAAAGTGCTTTCTCCTTCACTTGTTTCCTAGTGATCTGGTTGCTACCAACTTAAATGCAATTTTTAATACCAGGTCCTGACTCTGCACAGTGCATAAAGAGTTTCCTGGCGCAATATAGAATACCATGCGTGGCAAGGGATCCATATATTTATTGTATGTATGGACTTGGCGCGACAGCCCGTTAACGGGCTCAGGCCTACAGGCGACGTCCTTGCCTCGCAGCCATGGGTTAACTTAAATCCATAGAAGCAGTGATGGTTTAGCTCAACAGGACTGAGTATTCTGAATTCATTAATTTCTTAAAGATAATTTGTTTTTTTAAAGTGTAAATTGATTTATATCATGTGACGTGATATTTGTTTCACATTTATTCTACAAAGGGGGTACGTGTGGTCAACACATAGACATCTCCACGCCGTCTTCTCGACCTGAGAAGTGAATTTTCTCATCTCCACACAGCAACATATACCGGGACATTGCAAGGAAAATGCACACTGTAATCTTGGCTCGACCGGGATTCGAACCCGGGGCCACGTAGAGGAAAGCGAGCCCGCTGACCAACAGCTAGCCACGAGGCTCGGAAAGAGTTCCACGGGCTTCTAAATTACGAATACTATTTCCAAGTTGCTCCCTTTCGGCGTGGCCGCCGTTACTTTACATTGCGGCAGCGGTTGGCGCCAGCAGCAGCCTCGTAGTTCAGCGATCTCCCGCGCGGGGCGCTGCGCGCGCATTCGCGTGCTCGCGTGCCGCCGCGCGCCGCGCGCCCGCACGTGGACGAGGCGACGGAGCGTGTTCCTCGATGTCTCGCCACCTATCGATTGGTGGTCGCGACCGCTCCGCTTCCTGCCCTCAAACTCCGTTTGCTCGTAAATACCGTGCGAGGCTTTCTCTTTCGGAGCTTATGATGTGACGATTGGATCATTCTATTGCTTGCTGCCTGACCACCCAAAAGTCTGTCAAAATATTCTGACTTATCCGAATACAGCGGAGTTGGAAAATTCTTGCAAACAATGATTTTTTTAAGTGTGTTTCATTATCCGTTTATTTTTTGGACTCGTAGAGGAAAATTGCCCGATTTGGACTTTTGCCAAAATTGGACCGTATCAGTGTACATTTATTGTGGTGTGCAAGAGCACTTGTATCATGAAGAGGGTACACATGCACACATACTTAGCTGCACTGGCATGAGTTTGTAATTAAGTTGTTGGTTTGTATCAGTCATCTTATTGAGCAGGATCAGAGTTTTCTATGTTTACACAGTGTCTTTATTTTGTTTTATATAAATTGTGTATAAGAAGTGAGTAATTACCAATAAAACATTCATGTGGTTCCGTAAACGTAAAGTAAGGTTAATGTTGCCATTTAGTTACTTGTGAAACGTTCTGTTATTTTAATTTTCTTCTCCGTAGTACATGGTGGAAAAATATTGGAATAAACTTAATAATACAACGTCGAATTTTCGGTCCTAAAAACTGTGTTTAAGGATTTTTTTGGGTCCAAAATATATTTTGGGTTTCAAAGATAGTTAAGATTGTTGCAAGTGGCGAGGACATTTTTTTACATGAAAATGTAGATGTCGGGCTATATGGATGGATGTGTCACGCAGACCTCCATCATATTATAAGCTTAGCTGAAACTTAGTAAATACATAAGTACTAAGGTTTAGTTGTTTCATTCGGATCGTAATATTATTATAATATCTTAATTATGAGGGTACTTTGCGACAAAAAGACTGACAGTCTGTGAACAATGCTACGGCTAAAGCTTACATCGCGTTATATTAATTTTGGTGAAAATCTTACTTTTTTGGGGCCGCCAAACCATATGTTGGCTCTTCACCAAAATTGATATTCCGTGATCGATCTGCCTGATGTGACCCCTTGAATTTAAAATGGATATTTTGATTTTGGCTGTTACTTTACATGAACTCTCGAAATTTTTCGAAATTTTCTCAAAAATGTTTTCAATTTTTATCTAATTTTTTTCTTGGTCAAAGCAAAATACGCTTAAATAAATGACGTAATTGCATTATCAAAGAACTTTCTAAATTTTCGAAAATTTCAAAAGTTTAAAATTTTTCTACAGCTACAATATTGAAGATAATGTTTTTCTTTAATGAAATCTGTTCATCAAGAAGACTTGTTCAGAAATTATTTTTAAACAACGTAGACAGGTTATAAACAATTATTTTCTCGAAAATGGTTCCAAATTTTTTTTTATTTTTTTCCTTATTACAAAGAATGGTAACGGAAATGGTGCTAGCACCATTTTTGGTAAATTCCCTGTATTTTGAAAAATGCAAAAAATTAACAATATTGATGTTTGAGACTTTTTGTTAAATACTTTTTTAATTAGTTCTTTAAAAAGGGCATGCACTATTTTTTTCAAAAATATGAGTAGGTTAGCGTAATTTTGTGAATTTTAGGAATTGCAGTTTCGAATTTTTCCGCACTTCTTTTGCTGAATATTTCCAGAATTATTGTGTTGCAATGCAGCAATGGAAAAGTTGTTTGAAATTTTGAGAATAATTTCATATTGTTGGGTTGTGTTTCGGTTTGAATGGAATGCCGTTTTTCTTTGTAGAATGTATCAGTTTAAGTTTCTCTGCCTAATACACTACGACTATTAATAAGTTTTAGAAGTGATGGTTGAGATATATTAATACGTATGAAAATTGGGGTATTATAATGTTACGTAACTGTCATCAAAGTGAGAAAGAATGTGCTGTTGTGGTGCCACTAGTTTTGCTATTTCTCTTTACCAAAAATAGCGATAGCAATATTATATTCTAAAGGGAATGCATAATTTGAATAGTGTTTTGGTGAAATCATTTCTTTAATTGAACTTATATTGACAGCACAGTAATGAAACGGAAAGCTGTTCCAAATTAGCTTAGAACTTTTTCATACATTCCTTAACTTGACACAATATTTTGATTTCCTGTAGAGACTTAAGTAATTTTTTTACTTTGTTTCTTATTCAATTCAGAGCTAATGTGAACATTTGTAGACCAAAATCGACCATATTAAAGCTGACATACGATTCTGATACATTGGGTTCAGAAATGGCAAATAGGTATCACAGAGAATGTGAGTCAGTTTCATAATTTTAATTTAATACATAATTTTGAATTACACTACCAAAGGCGGGCATTTGGCGCGTTCATATAGGTAAAAAAATCGTCAATATTAACTCTACAAAGGTGAAAGATATTTTTTTTTTCTTTCTCGTGAATAAACTTTTGAAAACTTAACTCAAACCCCTTCTCTATGTATGTTAACGCTTCGCTTCAGAGTACGTTGCTGGGATCCTTGGTTCTCAGGAGACGAAAAATAAGTGTTCGATTAAGAGCAGAAGATAATATCTGAGCATCTTTGAAACTTCTTCGTGGAACGTGCAAATAATTTTCTAAAGGATACATTTATATTTTAATGTTCCCAGATCCGATGAAAATTTCTTTGCATCTTTCAACAACATTTGTTGTGCTCTGAGGGAAGTAAATACACACTGTTCCAAAAGGAAGTGGTTAGAAATTGGTATTACGTAATAGAAAAAACGTAAAGAAAACCGACAAGAATTCGTGCATATCATTAGAATCATTCTCTAAAACCTCAAGGTCATACGTTCTTATCTTTCCGTCTCACCCCGTTTTGAGATGCGCGAATGTTAGATTTTTGTTCAAAACCTACCTTTCTGTTCATTCATCTGTTTTGCCTAAAGGATGCGAAGCATGACAGTCAATTGGTGTCAATCAATTTGGGGGAACTGTTGTTTGAGGGAGCTGTCGAAGTTTGCGGTTACGTAACTCAGACATTTCATGTACAATATTGAGGTGGATGTGATGAACGGTTTTGTATGGCTCCCAAGGGAAAGAAAATTAGTGGAAGACTACAGACCAACTAGAGAAATAAAATGAAAATGTGATTAAGACACGAATTGAGGAAACTGTGTTTGCGTAATTTTTTAACACCAGTTCCCAATTTTTCCATTTCTAAATTCTGAAATCTTTAAGTACAACTATCATTTGTTTGCATTCAACACTAATAACATTCTTCATTGTCCACTAACACAATTTCTCTGACTGAAAGTTCACAACTAAAAATAAGGTTTGGAGGTTTACCTCGCTCTTCCCTGCCAATATACTCGTTTTACCGTAAAGTGAAATATTAACATCTTGTTTATTTTTTTATTTTCTTCATTAAATTGGCGAGACCCTTACTGCCTTCCAGCTATAATGTAAGCAGGGGTCGAATGTACCCGAACAGAGACCGTAGAGTCCAATGCTCTACGTAAGACAACAACAAACTGATAATAAAGTAATTGCCATATGGCTGAGAACGTTAAGACATAGCGAACTCGTACCGAAGGATTGATTGCGAGTTCCAGTCCTGCTTCGGGCATGGTTGTTAGTATTTGTGTTCGTCCATTCATCCCGTATCATCACCATATCATGTCATTTTATCAGTTACCATACCGTATTAAATGCAA